CCCCCCACCCCCAGAAGCCCCGCGTCCTACCATCGGGCCCCGTTGGTGAACCTTCCCCGCTTCGCGCCCCCGCACCCTCGAGCGACCGCCGCGCGCGGTGACATTATTATTCGTTATGAACGGGTTTACGAGGCCGCAAATCATAGCCATGTTCATATTTCGAACGGCCGCTCTCCTCGTTATTCAGTTTAATGGCGGCGGTATTTGAATTCCCGATCCCGCCCTCTGCCCCCTTTGCCGCAGCCAGCGCCGACGTCGCCCCCGCGTCTTCTCTGCCCCCTCGGCGTCTTTCACCACCCGCCACCGCCGTGCGTCACGTAACGATAATGTTAACTTCATATTGTGTTTCTCTGGTGAGAGGTTCCTAAACATTCTTAGCTTCTCCCAACACGAATTATTTTTTTTAATAGAAAAGATATATATATATATATATAGTAATAAAGTGTTATTCTTTTTCCACAAGAATAAAAGTGAAATTATAAAAATGCCTATTGATATAACCAAAATAAAAAAAAAAAATTATTAAATATAGATATATCTAAAATAAAAGCCTTTTTTCTTTCTCTTATTAAATAAAAGCAGTTAAGCATACACGTAAATTAATGAAAAAGCATTTACACATAGCATCCGTTTGCCGCGCATCTCTAGGAATCAAATTACAACGTGCTTTTCGAAAGAGAGCCGCACGGTTTCTCTGGAAAAACAAGCAATCGCAAACGTGCCGACGATGGCCGTTAAGTAGTTTTCCTTTCAGCTAGGACCCTCTCGAGATGTTTAGGCAATGTCGCCGGGGATTTTTGCACCTGGTGTCAAGAAAGGATTGAAGCGACACGATGTTTCCTGTTGTCGCTCGGTTCGCGTCGATCTAAAACAACCCGGGCTTAACCATCGTCGTGACACTTAAGCCGTACAGAGGGACGTGAAACCACGAATCCGTGGACTCAGTTGTTTACGGAGAGAGAATCAGAATCTACAGATTCTGTAGCTTAAAAAAATTTCCTTGATACAAATATTCAAATTATTATATATTGCTAAAAAGCAATCTATTGCATTGTTAATTGAACGCGTTGGAAGTGAATTTAATTCAATAATAAAAAAAAAAAAAGAAAAAAAAATAGATATGTATCTGCAAAATGTTTTCCTCTCATATATAATATAATATAAATATCGCGTATCTAAATAACCTCGTTAAGAGATTATTCGATAAAATAATGATCGTTTCAAATATGAAATGCCGTAGATCTCTCTCCCGTTTTTGCACAATCATTAAGGAACCCCAAAGAGAGATTCGACGTCACAACAACCGACGAGCAATGTTCCGCAGTAAATTCGGTACGTGCGCGTGTCGCCGTGCGAAAATTAAAGACCATAAATCATGCATGCGTTTCGCATCGGCGGCCCATGAATATTTATGAAAATCATTGCGTCGTTTACAGGCCTATTAATCCGGGGGTTAAAATATTCCGTCTTCGGTGGTGTTTTATCGGTCGCTGCTTCGCGCGGCAGCAGCTCCGCTCTCGGGCGGCACAGAGATGAGAGGCAGTCGAGGGGAAAGAGGAGGGGAGAGGGAAAGGGGAGAAGGACGTCGTTATTAGTCCTATCGATCATCCGACGCGAGAACCGACTCAACCGACACCCTTTTTGGACCCTTTACATGCCGCGCGTAGCTTAGCCGATCGCATTTAACACTACGCGCATTTTCTTGTTTGTGATCGCTTTCGTGATTCATTGTCAATCATTTATCGTAGGATCAATGATCATAATTACTAATTGATACACGTTAGTCCCATTGTTTTTTTACGCTAACTTATTGTTAAAGAAACTAAATAATTGTTATATTTTCTATTCAGTTTGTGCAATAAATTTTGATCTACGTAAAAAGATAATTATTCAATAATTTATCCTTGTATAATTTATAGTTAAAGAGAAATAAAATAGAAAAAATCGCTTGAAATAAAACATCGGTAAATTCTTTCGTGCGTGAATTTATGAATGATACCCTATCTGTTGATATTAAGTCAAAAATCGTGTTTAATTTTTTTATTGTTACAATAAAGCATACCGCAAAAAAACTACGGAGATTTATGGTCATCGATCAACCGGGAAATCACCAATATTTTGGCAACGGCGAGGGAAGCTGGGACCACCCCCGTTCTCCTCGATTTCGAGATCGATCGATCTTTCTTGCTCAAAACACGCGGAGAGGCTGACAGCGTTGGACAATGACCATAAACCGAGCGACTGTGATACTTTAATGGCTTCCGGGAAAATCTATCGAGAGCGATACAGGACGAATTTCGATGTGCTACGGTGCGTTTTAGCGTAATTCGCCGATTCCTGTGCAAACGCGTATTCTGATATTCCGATCGGTTGGCGGCTCTTGACGCGGTCGAGATCGGACTATGGTCATCCTGCGGGATACACGCCGGTACGGGACTTATCCCCGGGACACACACCGTGGATTTGCGACTGAGCGCTTTTATCCCCCCGCAAGCTCACGTGTATCGGGAAGGTAAGCGCGGTGCGCCCATGTAAATCCGCGAATACGTACGTAGACGCGGGTGTACTTGCGTCAAACAATGGCTTTTGTTTCGCGCGAAATGTACGCTGCGAGATAGAGGCTGCGCGGTTATCGATATATTGAGAATCTTAGATTTTCGTAACGTGCAAAAAGCTTGAGGGTTATTTTTTTTATTTTGCGGATCTGTATATATTCTTTAAAATCGTCGGATAAGATTTATGTTAACTTCTAAAAATCAGTATTGTATTCAGAGAAACAGTATTGTGAATATTATATAAAATACATATATAAAAAATATTATAAATACATATAAATAATATTGAATACACATATAAATATTTCAATGTAAAAACAACTTTACAAATATTTTCTATTTTTTTAAATTCAAATATTTCATGCGTATTTAGAGGCGTAGAAATTAAAATTGTATCTAAAATTGAAATATAAAAAATTGTCGCCATGTTTATGATTTTATAAATGCATCATTACTATGACAAAATATAAATATATTGATTTTTTCATTTATGAATTAAATACATAAATTATTATTATACAATACACATTATTGTAATATTTAGTACTTTAATAATAGAAAATAATCATCGTGCTCTATTGTTTTTATATTATTCTCTGCTTTATAAAATTAATAAAGCAATGCTTTATGTACTTAGGCATTGATAAAAATTAATTTAAAAAATTATTACAATGTACTATATATATTGGCATATTTTAAATTTTAATAAAATATCTAATAAAAATATTTTTATATAATGTAATTTTTAATGATATTTAAAGAAAAAAACTCGAAGAGATTCATCGAAAATTTACAACGGATAATTTTTTCACAAACGAATTTAATTTCTTTACTTTAAAATATATAAATAATGAAAACTTCAAAAGAAATCAGTAAGATAATTTTTATATTAAACATTTGCCCGTAAATACTTTCACAAATTATCTTCAAAAATAATTTAATTTAATTAATTCGCAAAAAAACAATTAACCCAACGAAATATCTGTTTAATTATGATATCGTGATACAACGATAACAATATCTGCATATAATATATATGTGCACAAAATATAATAATATATATACACATACATCACACACTCACATATATATAGACTCTAATAAAAGAAATAATCTTACTCACCAGTGTTGCTCTTGCCGTTTTTATCCTTGCATTCTGCTTCTTATCCCTTTGCAACGAATACGATGTGTCCCTCCTGCTGTTCCTGTTGTCGCATTCTGCTTTTTTATTCCTTTGGAACACTTTTTCACTTTCCTCAATCAGTCACGTAAGTACGATTCGAATATTACACTCTATTACAATCGCGGGTCGGACTAATTAAGCCGGTAATTATGATCGTCTGTTATTCGCACTTATTCGACACTCCCGATCGGACATATAAATAACGACGAATATGTCCGCCAATATATTTGACGCACCCGATACTCTCGACACTCCCGATGCTCCCGCTATTTTCACACTCCCGATGCTCCAGCTATCTTCACGCACTTGATATTGCCGGAATTTTTTTAGACTCTCGATACTCGTTAAACCGATGCAACGGATAACGCGACGCTAATAAACACGGTGTATATATATATACCGTGATTAACAAAATACCATAAGCGCGAGTCTAACACACGGCTTTATTAATACGTCGCCATAATCGTCGGACGATTGCTGGCTCGACACAAGTCCACAATGGCGACGCCATTATTTCAACGGACGCAAGCCCGACGCAAAGGACGGTTACATTAATCGAGAGACGAGGCGAATCACGAATAGACGCACTTGTGATACGCACCGACGATCGTCCGTCACTCGCCTCGGCACTTCCGATATTAATTCGCACGCGAAATTCGCTGTCGACGAGCAAAAGACGCGACAAATACGGAACGATCTCGATCACTGCCGAACGACCGTTACGCGGGGACGAAGAGGGCGAAGATAGTCGCGAGATAAAGGATGTGGTAGCACTGAGGTACTCGCGCGATTTCACGCGATTGCTTTCTTTCGCGCATCTAGATACTACACATACTCTTCGGCCTAATTCTTACGCTTTGCAACCCTTCTATATTCTTGACACTCGTTAGGCCGATATTATATTTGTCGTACGACAAACTTTTTATGCGCATTGATTAGCTAAAATATAAAATTTTTAGACTCAAGATATTTTTTTTTATAGCCAATCAGTATGCTTAAAAAATTTGTCGTACGACAAATGTAATGTCGGTCTTACACTTTCGACGAAGGACGATGCGATACTAATAAATATGTCGTATATATATACTGATTAATCGAATATCGTAAGGAAGCAGCTATAATCATACGGCTTACAATTAATTGTAGCAATCATCCGACATCTTATCACTGTTCGACAAGTCGATCATTATTTCAACAGACGTGCACACGACGCGACGCGGCACGAAGACCGATCACGTCGAAAGACGAGGCAAAAGGCAATCGACGATTAGACGCACTTATGATACGCACCGACGATTAGACGCATTTGTGATACGCACCGACGATCGCACGTCACTCGCTTCAGCACCTCTGATATTCAATCGCGCGCGGGAATCGTTATCGACGAGCGAAAGACACTGGGTGACCTCTGTTTGACGCGATGATTGAAGGTGGTTGCAAAGCCCGTATTATACATTGAAGATTAAAAATTGACCAATCAGAAGAGAGAAATCTAGTTCCTTTTGTTCTGATTAGTTAAATTTTAATTTTTAATTTTTAATCCTTAGTCTTCAATAGTTTGATACGGACTATATAAGCATATATAAATAAATATAATATTATAATATATTATATTATAAATATAATATTATAATATTAAATTTAATATAAATATAAATAATAAATATATATATAATGTATGCTATAAATATAATATATGCTAGATCGAGATCGCGCGAAAATGAGAAAGAGAAGGAAAAACTTGTCCGAGTGAGTCATGGACGACGGACGATATATTAATTGGCAAATTAAATTAATTTGTCACTCATCACTTATTTCGATAATATTATTGTATTTAATCGGGATCTTATCCTATTCTTTGTGTGTATGTTTTTTATTAATAAATTAAATAAATCAATTTTTCTTTGTCCGTGCTTATCAAAAGTATATGAATGGAAATGTATGTAAGATTTAAATAAAATTTTATTTTCTTAATTAAAAATATTCTTGCGAGATAAAGCATGTGTAAATGTGTGTTATATCTTATTTATCGTACGACAAGCTTCATCGGACGATATACTGATTGGCTGATATACTGCAAAAAACTTTCAAAACTCTAGATACACTCTTTAAATATTGTAACGAACATGTAGATATTACAACGTGTTCCACGCTGTGAAAATCGTCGCGCGTAGTAAGCAATTCGTAGTATGTATTTACATCACATATATTTTTATCGATATCATAACATTGCTTCGTATTGTTTTGATTTCAGTTGGTCTCTTTGTGTAATGTAAACAGAACGCTAGAGAGTATAACATGTGTTAGTCAGTTCTGTGACCGCCTTCAATCATGTGTACGTCGCGGGAGCCGAGATCGAGATTTCTCGCGTCTTTTACACCAGAGAACTCGCTCACGAACGAGTATCGGAAGTACCGAAAATAATAATGTGCGATCGTCGAAAATATATTGTAAATATTTCTAATCTTGTGTGTCTTTTCCGATATATACGATTAATATTTAACGCGTCGAGCCATGAATTCGATCTCAACACAATTCCATTATTATTATCGTCTTATTGTCGAGTGGAAAATGAACCTCGCGTGTGAATGAGTATCAGGAATGTGTCGGGAACAATGACCGTGTAATCGTATCGTAATCAATCGCGTTTTATCGTCGAAAATCAATTACGCTTGTAGATGTGTTTTTTCGATCGATTCGCGTTCGTAAGTCATGGACGATAATATATTAATTTGTAAGTAAATTCATTTATCACGCATTAATTATTATATATTTTGACAATATTATATTATATTATAATCGCGATCTTATCGTATTCTTCATCTTTCATCGATTAATTAAATAAATCAGTTTGTCTTTGGGCGTGTTTGTCAAAAGCGAATGTGTGAAAAGAAATTGGGTATTTAGTAAGATTTATAGACAAAATTTCATCTTTTTAATCAAGGATATTTTTCTCGTCGCGTGAAGTATGTGTAAAGTTAATACATATCTTATTTGTCATACGACAAGTTCTATCGGGCGTAGTGATTGGTTGATATATTACAAGAAACTTTCGAAAGTCTAGATACACTCTCTATTCAATGACCAATCGGTACGTCCAGGGAATCGTTATATGATAGGCGCACTAGTAAATTTTGATTGGATGCACTAGCGTGTACTGTACGTGTACTTATCTTTAGTCCGCGCTTTCTCAGTTTTTTTACCTAGTTGTAACTAGCCACCGCGTAAAGAGGGAGGGCGTGCTCGTAAACAACGTCACGCGTTCACATTCGGCAACGTTTTCGAGATCGCGGTATATTTTTCGCATTTTCTTTTCATTAACAACGAATATTGTGTGCGAACGAGTATCAGGAGTGTTGAAGCGAGTGATGTGCAATTATCGGAACGTAAGTGCGTCTAATCTTAACCTCGTGAATTCTTCGATGTATGTAATCGATCTCTATAACGTCGCATCGCGTCCTATTAATGTTTGTTTAAATTTCGTAATAATTAGTATCGTGTTGTATCGGCGTTTGTTAAAATAATGACGTCGTGATGATTGATTTATTGTCGAGCACCAAAAATTGACAGATAATTGCTGCGACATACTAATTAAGCCACTTATTTGCCATTTATTTAATTGATATTTAAGTAAAAATCAATATATACCCTATTCTTTTTTTGTTAACGTGTCGCATCGTTTTTAGAATCTTTCATTGGTTAATAATATAAAAAGTGTCGAGATTTCTGGATTAAGATTGGTTCCATATTAAAAAATATAAATCTAGATATTTTTGTTCTTTTTTTACAGGTATGGACTCGTGATGGAATTTCACAAAATGGAATCTCACAGGTACTCCTTATGGAATTTTATAGAATAAACATGGATCAGATTTTTTTTCATCGCATTGGATAGCGTCATGGTGAGTTTTATATGCTCTTGTTATAGTTGTTTTAATTAGTGATATTTTAGAATGTATCTTTTTATATTATAATATTATATATATGTGTACACACATGAGATAAATTTATAGCAATATATATTTTGTTAAAAAGATATCTGAACTTTTTACTAAGAGTTTTGTTTATTTTGTGCGAGTTTATCACATCTTAAGAATAAAAAAATATGATAATGTAAAATATAATATGTATATATAATTTTAAATTATATCATGCTAAATATTAGTTATACATATATATAATTATATAATATAGTTATAGTATTTTATTCTAAATATATGTGTGGGAATTTCTCCCCAAAAATAGCAATTCAAAAATAAATAAAAACAGCTTTAAAAATACATCTTGCAAATATATATGATTAAATAGAAAAGCAAAATGTGAGTGTTTTCTCTGAAGATGAAATGATTTTTTGTGAAATCTTGTGTTGCTACTTTTATCAGTAACATTTTCACTGACTCAGTTTAAAAAAAAAGTGTTATTTATCGATTTTAAACTTAAACGATTCTAAACAGCTCTCCGAATACATGTCCTTTTAATTAACTTAAGATCGTCAATGAATTTATAGATTTAATTATTTAATTAAAAAATACAATAATGTTTAGATTAATTTTATATCGAAAACATTATCGGATACGATATACATTCGCCGGCAATATAGAATACGAAAAAAATAGAATAAACGAAAAGGGGAAACAACATTCTAGAGACATTTTCCCTTGCAGTACACCTTTTCTTTCGTGAGGATTCGACGAATGCGCGAATGTATTTCAAAGTAGGTCCCGCGGGAATATCTCGTCTTTGTGCCGATTTCGAGCATGCTGTGAAAGACGAAAAGTGATCGAGCGCGTGCGAACGCTTAAGAAGGAAGAAAAATCGTTTTATAAATTCCATTCGTTTACCTTTGCATTTCCCTTCTGTCCTACGCTTCCCCCTTCCTCTCAACGTCTTCGTCCGAAATGGCCTTTCTCTCGACGAGTGCGAGTCCTCGCCCCAATCCAGCCTATTCGCTCGATCCGATGCCACATTTCGCTTTTCGTTATCGCGTCCAATTCCAGCGGAAGATATCCGACCGGCGATAAGAGCACGGAATTTAAATAAAACGAATCAATATTCAAATCCGCCGTTCTCTCTCTCGCTAGCTGGTTCCCTGAATGTCTCCCCTTCCCCCTCGCCTTTTTTCTTCCTTATTTATTTTGTTCATCTCTATTTCCCGCCGCACTTCTCCAACTTCGTCCGCTCGGTCTCTTTCTCGTTTGCTCTGATTCTTTATTCATTGGTACAATATCGAAGCGTCTCATTTATTCGCGTCTCTTTGTCGAATCAGGCGATCTCCTTTCCAGACCTTTTCAACCTCTGTACTGATTGGGTTCAAACAGCCCGAATGATTGGTTTTATACTCGGCGAACTATATTCGTTTTGCCGGAGAATCAGAAAAAAGTATTAGATGGTCTTTTTTAAAAATAATGGAAAGAATTAAGTGTTTAGTGATAAATTATCATTGATACATTTAAGTAGATCTTACGTTTGCAAAAACTAAATTTTTATTGGAACTAGTTGAAAAGAAATTTTCTGATATTTTTTCTTCAGGAGAAATAACCCAGCTGTTTTAAGATATGTAAAAATATTATTTAAAATTATTTGTATGACATATTATTTCAAAAAACATTTAGTTCGATGTTTCATCCTCGAGATATTTAGTTTTATAAAAAACGTTCTTACATATAAATAATTAAAATCTCTAGAATTAAATTGAGAATTTATTATAGAA